ACAGGGCTGATTGTGAGCAGGTAGAGTAGAGCACATGATTCCTCTTCTACCACTGGTTCTTCTTCTCTGGGTTGGGGTGTGATGCTTTCCACCAGCAGTCCCTGGCCTCATGTTGTTTCAGCTGGAACACATTCACTTGTTTCCTGATCCCTTCCCTCCGACTTCTCCTGGGTTTCTATCCAGCCTGTGGCTCCTCATCCTTGGGTGGCAAAGGTTGATTTGTGGGACTGAGGCTGAAACACCATCTGCCCCTACCGTGCACTTTGGGGTGATGATGGTGAGCTTTTTAGTGCCTCTGTGTCCTGATGTGTGAGAAGGACCAAACCCTTCATTTTTCTTGGTATTGTGAGTCTTAAGGACAAGCTTATTCTAATACGTGTCTGGAAGGAATTAAATCCTGTTGGAAACCCCAGATGGACTCGCTAGTCATTTTTGTGCTTTTGCAAATAGTGCCATAATGTACTGATATTTTTAGATCATGCGGATATTTTCAGCTGGGGGAAAATCTCTTATTTTCTTTGTTAATTATGCTATGAATAGATCTTAGGCTACCGAGGAGAAATGAGTTGGTCTGCTGAAGTGGTGATCCCTTGTGAGTTCAGGTACCCACCTGGCTTCTCTGAATTGCTCACAGAGCTGACTGCTAGAGTCATGATAGCTTCTGCCAGCTGTGGATTAGGTCTGAAGTTTCCTGGGCTTTTCACAAAGACATGGCAAGCTGCCACTGCCCCAAGCTCAGGGCTGTGGATGAATAGCACAGCTTAGGTCTCAGTCTTTCATTGTGAATCAAGAAGGACCTTCACATCATTCACATCATCGATGAAGAAAATTTAGGGCATCTTCCTCATTCACTAACTGATTTCTTTCCTTGCAATAGAGTAAGCAAAAGCTGTCCTTGTAGTAACTGAAAATGAAGGGCAGGAGATGCATTTGATAAAAAGAAAAGATTTTCAGAATAATGATCTAGAATCAGTGTGCCTGTGCTGACTGTAGATCAGCTCCAGCAGAGTCCTGAGCAAGAAACGGTGTGCACTGACTTCAGGGAGGGATTGGTGATGGTAAGGATGGATGTTCTGAAATATTGCAGGACTTTTTTAAGGACAAAAAAATATATAAGGAAAAATTGCAGCATTGCTCAATGTATGTTCCCTGTAGTGATGTCTCTGAAAGACAAGGTGTCCGAGTCTCGATGCTATACTTTTCCACGTGCCAACAACTGGTATTGCAGGCATGAATCACTAACCATCAGGTGAACCCAGCTCCATCAAAGGGAAGAGTAAGCAAAGGAGAATGAATTATCAGGGGTAGAGGATTTAAATACTTTTGTGTGGGTAAATTATTGCCTCATTTCTTAGATCTTCTCACTGGCCAAAAAGACACTATCTCTGGAGACGTTTTACTGAAGGCAGAAACCAATTAGAATAAGATCGTTGCACAACTAATAAAGTGTTTTCAGATGAAATTATTTTTAGTGCTGTAGAAATACAAAAGAATTAGAGCAAAACACGTAAAAATACAGTTAGAAACTTTCTGTGGTATTTGGACACCTCAGTAGCTCATCTTTGAGGGTCAGCTGGTGTTCTGGCAATTTGCTATGTTAGTCAGCTTTCCCTCTTGTGTTCTCTGGTACATAAATGCCCAATCTTACTTTTCTTCAGAATGTACCTATTGTACCAGATGTGCTAGAAACTCATGCTCAAGCACATGCATTTAGTGCCTCAGGTTCCTTGCCTGATTCAGCCAAGTGGAAATATACAGGGATCAGAAAAATCCTATGTCCCCGATGCCTTTATCTTAAAACCAACCACCAAGGGTTTAAGAAGTTCATGTAGTTGAGAAGTGATGCATGACTGCTTCTACATTAAAGAGTTCCATTGCTTTGTAAGATGCAGTCATTAAGAAATATTTGCCATATGGTTTTACTTTTGGTATTGTCTTCCACCCCATTTTGTTATGTGCTGTAGTTCCTTCAGGAGGCCTAACTACTTAACAGCTGCTTCTTTAGATTTAGAAAATATTTTCCAACCCTTCTTGTGTTGGATGTTTAGTGAGTAAGTTGGATGGCAGTCTGGAATGTGGACTTCATAGATGACAGTGCTGAAACTGTGAAATATCCTGCATTTGGCCACAGTGTTGCTTCTCCCCAGAGCTGTCAACACCAAGACTCAGGCTGTGAGAGCAGAGCAGAAAGTTGCTGCTTCAGTGATTATTACTCAGACAGTGATGTACCCAACCATCCCACTTTGCATCTCCCCTCAGCCCCATTTCTGCTGTACCTAATAAATGTATTTCTTTATAAACACTAATTTAGGACAATTAGGAGCAATTGCATAGTTAAACCTTTAAAAGGTTATCTTGCAATGTCATTTTCCTGACTAATGTGTTCCTGCTGCCATGTCATTTGTGAATAGACATGTGTTAGCCAGCTAGTGTGCTTCATCTGTGGTGACTTTGATTTATTTGCTCTGTAAATTGGGACTGAAGCAATAATGGAAACTGACATTAATTGTTTAACAGAGTCCTCTTTGTCACATCCTTTCCTTTCTCTGGGGTGTTTGAATGTTGAAACTTGTACAAAACTAATTGAAATTGCTGTGATGAGGACCAGTGTCCACTCAACTTTCTGTTCTTGAATGTCAGTGCACTTGAATGTCTGTTTAAAGCATGAGAGCTAAGCAGCTAACAGCAAATATCAGGGTTTCTTCTGTCATGCTATTATTGAAGAAGGCATTCCCAGTTAGAAATAGCATCACTTGGAGCTCTGTTGTTGGCTCTGTGTGCTGAAGCACTCAGCAGAAGGGCAAAGGGCACCCTCCCAGCTGGCCTTGCTGGAGACATTTCTGCTGCAGGGTCAGCCAGAACCCCCCAAAGTGCCATGGGCCAGCAGCGGAAGAGGATGCACCCTGCCTGGAGAAGCCCAAAAACTGTACCATTATACTTCATTACCCTGCAAAGTGCTTTTTTGCCTGATAACCTCTTTTTACACTTTTCTGAAAGTGATACCGATAACGTCCCTCTTCTCAAAAAGTGGCTGTGAAGAGCTGGATTTGGAGCAAGTTTTATTCGCAAAGTGGCTTCCCTCTGGTTATTTCCATACCCTCTATTCTAGCACTGGAGTAAAGCATCTGAATTGTCACGGCGCTATGCATGTTTCTGCGTGGTATGATGGAAATTACTAGGTGTATAGACTTAGGCTCTTTTTCTCAGTGGTCAGGCCCCTTTTGGCCTTTTAAGTAAATGCTTCTCCTTAGCATTAGCTGTGCATGAGTGTTTATTCGTTTCTGGGGACAATGCTGTAAGTACCGGAGCAGTCTGTGCTCTGCCACAGCTTTCTAATGAGAATGCAGAGTTTGTCTGCAGGAACCCATGAGGTGCGATTTGGCAGAGCAGCCTGACAGGAGGAATTGTCTGTGCGGTTGATGCTCATCTCTCCTTAGAGTCTGGTGGATGATGCTGTATTGCAGAAAAAGTCGTAGTGAGGGGACGCACAGATTCACCTGATTTTTTTTCTCTGTTCTGAGGTGTTACTGGCAGTGTTTTGATGTTGACTTTTCTAACACTACTTTTTACAAAAGGGTGAGCTTTTATTTGTCTCGTATATGCCTTGCTAGTTCACTTCTCAAATGTGTGATCTGAACTTCGCTGAAATCTCTTTGTAGTGTGAACCCAGGGTGTGATGAGCCACTGTGAAGTGTGTGGAAAAGCTCCAAACTGGTGGCCTTGCATTTGGTTCAGATCTCTGGAATCAGGGAAAGGCTTTTTGTTCATTTTAATGGCGCGAGGATCAGCCTAAAAGTCCCAGATAATTGATCCGTCAAGATCAATTTCCGCTTTTTTTGAAGAATAAATATAATGATTTTTACACAATTCTATTCCTCAGAACAATTAGTACTCCAAAAAATCTTTACCTTAATACACAGCTGGGACTATATTTCATTAAAAAAATTGGGAGGTATTTAAATTTACTCAATTTGACAGAAAGAAGTCTTGTTTCTGAAATAAGATATCTAGTATAATTCAACATTACAGCCACATCTGATTAGGGATTAATCTACTTTTTATAATTGCAGTTGGAGTTAGATAAATGCATACAATAGCTGCATTGAGCACTCAAACTACGTAATTCAAAAAGAGAACTTGAAAGGCAACTGCTTAACATATTCATTTAAAAGAAACCCAGAATCTGCCATTTAGAGTGTGAGTTTTGAACGAATGTGCTCAAGAACTTCTTTACGGTGAGGGTGACGGAGCACTGGAACAGGCTGCCCAGGGGGGTTGTGGAGTCTCCTTCTCTGGAGATATTCAAGTCTCGCCTGATGCCTACCTGTGCGACCTGCTGTAGGGAACCTGCTTTGGCAGGGGGACTGGTCTCGATGATCTCTGGAGGTCCCTTCCAACCCCTACAATTCTGTGATTCTTGCTTGCTAGTGTAATGCCAAAATGTTCAGGAGTTAGAAGTTTTTCCCTTGTTTTTGGAGCGAGTGTGTCCAGAAGTAAGGAAGAGAGATTTTGTCTCTCTCATGCTGGGCTACGTACATGAACAAGGTTTGCCAGATTTCTCTGTTAATTCATTTTGGCCTTCTGATTAGCTGTCTTATTCTGTGATTCTTGTAATTTTGTCAGGTCAATTAACTGTTGTTCAGTGTTCAAAGGAGAAAGAAAGAGACAGCCTGGGCTGACACCATCGTTAGGTGCCAGTAGCCTCGGCACATCCTGTAATGCAATCCCTGCCTGATTATCTGTTGGTGTTAATGCTGCATTGAAAGAATCGCGGAGGAAAAGTAAAGCAGAGCAATACACTGCAAATGCAAAGAGATTTCTCTTAAATGCAGAGCTGGATAATTTTCTTGCACTTAATTGCATCTCCTGAGACGCTGTTGCAGGTTAAGGTTTCAAGGCAATATTTAATAATGTTTTGACTGCTTTTTCACATGCAGAGTCACTGTTTCATTCTTTCGTCTTCTCACCTGGTTCCACTCTTTTTTTTGGTCTTCACACAGAAAATAGATGAAGAGAATGAGGCAAACTTGCTAGCAGTTCTCACTGAGACACTGGACAGCATCCCTGTGGATGAGGATGGATTGCCTTCATTTGATGCACTGACAGATGGAGATGTGACCAATGAACATGACGCCAGCCCTTCCCCGATGCCCGACGGCACCCCGCCGCCCCAGGAGGCAGAAGAGCCGTCTCTAGTAAGAACCCTTCCTACTGTTTAACAGGAACTGGATGTGTCTCTGGCTACCCACTGCGTGGGTATGATGTAGTCACAGTAAGGTCTGGACTTTTCACATAGACTGAAAAGGAAAATCAAGTAAAGAACTGAAACTTAAGTGGGGAAGAAAACACACCAATCAATCATAACATGACTAATAAAGGAATCTACTGAAAAGTAGACTGAAGAGATTATTTTTTAACTTCTTTTGCTAATGACTGACACTTTTGCTGATTATTCTGTTCAAATAAGTCAGGAGAATATTTTTTAATTCGCGTTACATTTCTTGAGGCTCTTTGCTGTATATGTTTAGACTTTACTTTGGTGATCTGTAAAGAAATGCCCATTGAGTCTGGCGCACTGCAGGGCTAATTTTGTGCCTTTAACGCTCATTTGACCAGTAAGCACCAGCTTAGCACTAATCAGGGCAAATCTGAATCTTGGGTGAGGATGTGAATGAAACCTTACACGCATTTTGTTCTGTAAAGAGAGTTTGAGACGGGATTCTATTTCTGGTGAAAGTAATTTATCCCTGACTTCTGCAATAGCAGTCAGATACAAGCATCCATTATTCTGTTCAAGTTAACTTCTCTGTTTAGATCAGAGACTTGTTCTGTTGAACAGATCGCTGAGAATTTTGCTTTGCCTTGGATTTAGAAATCCAAGGCCCCTGCCATTTCTGCTTGCCCTGCAGTATACTGCAGTAAAATGGAAGGAAAGGAAGTTTGTTGCCAAGCCTCAGAAGAAAATAGAATCTGTTTGCTCTGGGGAGTATTGAGCCCTTCCTTCTGTTTTAATGCACTTTACTTGCTGAAATTGTAGTAGCTAGTTTCAAGCAACGATACAAAAAATTTAGACAGGTAATTTTAATTCATAAAGATGCATAACTTTACTTTTTTCCTTCCACCTCCTTTTCTCTATGTGTTTGTAGCTCAAGAAGCTCTTGCTGGCTCCAGCCAACACTCAGCTAAATTACAATGAATGCAGTGGTCTCAGCACACAAAACCATGCAAATACAAATCATAGGATCAGGACAAGCCCTGTGGTTGTTAAGGTACAAATTTAATCTTTGTAATAAGGGGGGGAAAAAAGAAAGAAAAAATGTAACATGTCTTTTATGCTTTCAGCAATCAAGTAAGCAGTAGATCTATATGTGTGGTATTAATCTGCCTACTATCCAGCAACTGCTTCAAAAAATGTGAACAGATTATAGACTGGGTTCCAGAAAATCACCTGAGCTCCTTTATGCTCTGAATATTTCATTTTTGCTTTTTCTCTTGGCAGAGTTCAGCTGTAGTCCCACCGTCTGTTACTCTTGCCTACTTTATTGATACACACAGTAGTAGGGGGTGCAATAAAATTTGTTGATGGGCTGGTGTTGTTTATGAGTGACTCCAGGATGCAAGACTGCCATTTTACCAGCTGTCTGGGCTAAGAAAAATTGCACTGGATTCTTGGCAAAAGATGTATATCAGCCATTAATTGGAAAGAATGGTGTCTCTGACATAATTCTGTTAGCAGGCAGTATTAAACAATGTTTGTCTTGCCATTCACTGTAACTGAAAACGAAGCATTTAGGGGTACTTAAGAGAGTTGTGAATACTGGGCTCAAGCAATCAGCAGCAAATTAAGGTTTAAACCAGCTTATTTTTTTGTTCACAGTAAAGGCGCTGTAGGGTCTTGTTAGTTACATGTTGCTGAATAGGAACATTGAAATGTTGGAGGAATGAAATAAAAAAGCTGCATAAATGTCATTTAGGAATTTCAATGTAATTTTCTTTTCTTGTTCTGCAAACAATTATTCACAGCTCATAGATCTAGTACACTTAGACTGAACACTTCATTGAAAATCTCATCTCTTTAGAAAACCTATATCCATTTTGATAAGGTTCAGTTCACTGATTTTAGCTTTTTTTTTTCTTTTTTTTTCTTTTTTTCTTAATGCTCTGTTTTTAAGACTGAGAATTCGTGGAGCAATAAAGCGAAGAGCATTTGTCAACAACAGAAGCCACAAAGACGTCCCTGCTCTGAACTTCTCAAATATCTGACTACGAACGATGACCCTCCTCAGAACAAACCAGCAGAGAACAGGAACAGCAGCAAAGAGAAATGCACCTCCAAAAGGAAGCCCCATCTGCAGTCTCAGACAAATCACCTGCAAGGTAGGTGCAGGAGCACAGAGCATAGTTTGGTTTTGGAGGGAAGCTGAGATACAATGCTTGTGAATACCCTCATACCTCTTCTGTTCCTTGGGTTATTATTGTAAACCCAGCATCTCTTTCTTCTGTATAGAGAGAGTTTTAAAACAGTATAATGAAGTTAGAATTAGCCAGGTTTAACTTTTGAAGTTTTAATCCTGTCTCTGTTGCCCTCAATCTCAGAAAAGGAACCTCAGAAGAAAAAAAAAAAGTTAACAAATGCTACATGTCAGTATATCAAGCGAGTTGGAGATATTTATTCACAGAGTACTGTACCACTAAGAAATCATTATACCCCTAAACAAGCTGGGCAGGCTGGTTCATTAGTGAGCTTCTTTCTTTTTGCCAGCGTAAAACCGAAGGCATTGTTAACCTGCCACATCGTCCTTAAGAGACAATAAATAGCGTTCTCACTGCTACAGAATAAGCAATAAATGTGTCATTCCTGTTAAAGTAGGAATGCTGGTTTGTAATTTTATTTTGCAAATAGTTGGAAGTTTAGCAACCATCCTGATCTTTCTCTCTCTTTAGATTCTTTATGGCCAAACCTAAACACTTGTGTTGACTTTTAATACCCTCCAATGCGTAAAGAACTGGGCTATATTACTTGCTTCAATGACAGAGAAGCAAGAACTTAGAGGCTCCTCTTTTGCTCCACTCCTCTCCTGCCTGTTTTCCCAAGATAAAGAAGAACTGTAAAAGCTTATGAGCCCAAAGGGAGCTTATTTAAAGTTACTCTTGCTTTAAAATACATCTATGGATATACTTGTCTGGAATTGAAAAAGCCGAATACTTATCTCAGTAACATTGGTGCAAATCCTGGATGACTCCTCTGAAGCTGATGGAAGTCATCCAGCTGCAACAGAGATCAGTATATAACACACTACATGTTGCCTTGGAGTTTGTAAAGTGAGAATTCTGAACTGCATATGTATTTTTTCCTCCTCTTCTCACTTCTCCCTGCTTTTTCAGCCTCCATCAAGTCTATTCTTTCACTCTTTGTTAGGAGGTATAAGCAAACTTAACAAAATTATGTTCCCCCCCCATCACTAAATGCCCTGCTCACAGCAGTGTGTTCTGACATCTATCGTATAGCTTTCTCCATTGTGGTTTCAAATTCTCTGAATAGTGTTTCTTGTAAGAAAGAAATCCAGCTGCCCCTAGAGCTTCTTGAATGCCAACTGCCACTCCTTCTGGCTAATCTCAGCAGACCGCTTCAGAGCAAAATCCTGATTGAAGCATTCATCTCAAACCCGGATCTTGTACTGCAAGGGTTGTGGAACCAGGCATAGGCCTGCCAGACACAACCCAGTGCTTTACTAACACTGCTAGGTGCATATCACATGTAAGATATCTTATACGCACATGTATGTTATACACAGGTGTGTGTGCACATGTACATAATTACTGATTATAAAATCTTGCTGTTGGATCAGGGCTGCATTTTTTCCCAAATTGCACAGATTTTATGCAAAGAAAGAAAATAAAGTGGGTTGTGACAACAGTGTAAAGGGAGAAGTTAGAAAGTCCTAAAAGGACATGCAGCCAACTCACCAGTGATTAACAAATGACAGTGTCTTCTGTGATATTGCAGGTGAAATTACAGGCAGAGAGAAATTATTCTCTTTTTTTAATTCCTGCAGTTTTATTTACAGACTTCTGAAATGTTTTTTCATCAAATTTGTCTCACACTCATATATGACTTCAGTGTCAATGAATGTGCATATAATACAAGTACAAGAATATAATGCTTTCAGCTTGGACAGACTTTTTGTGCAGAACTGACCTTGCAGATTCGAGTGCTATTCACGGATGTACAGTCATTTCTTTATACATTTAATCAAAACTAAAAATATTGTCTCCTTCTGTTTTAAAAGATAATCAGGCCCTAATATTTTCTTTCAAAGTTAGGGAAAGCTCACAAAAGAGAAGTAAAATGATATTTTCCTTTAGGGTTATTGTTGCAAACATATTGCAAACCCATGGGAATGTCCACAAACCCGTTCATGCCAAAGATCATCTGTGGTTTTACACTGAAATTTGCCCATGAGGAAATTTAGTTATTTTGAACCTGAATGTTTTCAATTTACAGAAACAAGCAACTTCATGTGAACTCTTTTAAATACAAATAAAACACACTATGATAGACCTTAAAAATTGAATAAACAGTCACCATGGAAAATGGTATTGGCTAAACATTTACAGTGTCAGTGACTATAAATGAGGATGGAATCCTGTTTGGTCAAGCCTGTGCCTAACAATAAGAAAAATTAGTGGTATATTAATTTCTCAGTGAGAGAGCTAAACAATATCTGCCTAAGTGAATACAGAGGAGTGTGAGATGATGCTTGGGTGCTGTGTCGTAGTGTTTCAGATTTTATACATCTATTTATTTGGATCTGCCTCTCTATATGAGAGCTAGAAGGAGACTTTTTAGAAGCTTAAATAACTCTAACACATTCAGCTTTCATAGAAAGGCCAAGCTGGGTAAGTGTATGTAGTTTTTGTTCTCTGAAAAACAGTAGGAGCATTTGTTTGTGCAGACTTTCTTCCTGAGCCTTTTGGTAAGGTCTGTTCTTTTTAGCCAGTTTTACCTCAAGGTAGGCGCTGGCAACAGTCACAAACATTAGTATCCTAGTTGTGTATAAAGTACTTGCGAAGTTGTGTCATCTTACAGATGGTCTTATGGAAATCTTTTTTATGCACAAATCGCTGGCGGTGCTGGATCAGACACTTAAGCCGTTTTGGTGCATTTCGTCACTTTGGCAGTGAATTCTGAGGAAGGTGAACCTAAGGTGAACACCTGAGTTTCCACTTCTAACTTTCAGATGGGGAGGAGGAGGAACAATATGCAGCTCTTGAGAATTGAGTTAATTTTTTAAAAATGTAATATTACTCCAGGAATGCTCTAGAGCTTATAAAAGTAATCAATTTGCATATAAAATCCTTTAATGTCGATGGGAGCTCCAAGCCTGGAATGAATGCGAAATACGCAGTAGTGACACTCTGGACAAAAGATCTGCAGTGCAGAAGTGTTCAAGGGGAACATTTTGTCTTAAGTAATTAATTTGCAGAAGAGATCCCCTGCTGTTTTTCTTGGTACAATGCTCTCTGCATTTAAGCATCAATCTAACTTCTGAAAAGTAAAATTTGCAAGTAATATTATTTTTAATTTTGAACGTTTTTTCTGGCAATTAGAAGAATCCTAGTTGTATTGCAGTATTCTAGTTCTTGGCTTGCTTTGGGAAAATACAAGCTTGCATGAATAAAAGCTACAAAGACTTGTATTTTTATAGCTAGAGCTTTGTTTTTTTGTGTATGTTGGGATTGTAGTGCTGAGAGCGTCAGCCCCATTTTTAACCATCTGTGAGTGAATCCATGGCTTGTCATAGTTTGCAGGATAATTTGCAGAAATTTGGACTATAGCAAGTTGCACTCCAGCCTCATAAAACAACCTATTCTCAGTGCTACATATAAAATTGTATACTGTAGAAGTAAAATTAACTGAATATTCATAACGTTCTGTTAGTTTGTAGTTATTCTGCTGCTCTTGTTTCCAAATAAAATGTAGACAGTATTCTAAATTAAATCTAGGAGAAAATAAAATTTTCATGGTGCATCCTGTGGATTTCTTCATTGATTTTTAACATGTACCACTCTTCTTCTGAAAGGTTCTTGGCATTTGTGCTGTGTGCTGTATTTCAGAGGTGCAGTAATTGCTGTAAATCATTGTTGAAATTTAGTTACCCTTTTTGTGCCAGTGCTAAGGAATGAGGATGTGACTCCCCATTTATCCGAAGTATACAGAAATGGCTACTGAACAATCAGAACCCAGCCCTAACTGACTAATAGGGGTTTCCATCACAAAAATAAAAGACGACTTTTTGGTATATGTTACGGAGTGCTTAAATATTCCATAATCGTTTTCTTTTTTCCCCTTAGCCAAACCAACAAGTTTATCACTTCCGTTGACGCCTGAGTCTCCAAAGTAAGTAGTAAAAAGTGCAAACATTTATAAAAGGGAGGGGAATCTAATACATTTTGGCTACAGCAACTCCATTTCAGCTTGTTTTTATAAATGTGCCCTGTCTTCCAGTGATCCCAAGGGTTCCCCATTTGAGAACAAGACTATTGAACAAACCTTAAGTGTGGAACTCTCTGGAACTGCAGGTGAGAAATGGGTAGAGTTAGCTTTTCCTTTAAGCATGGTTTGGTGTGTGTTTGTTCATTTCAATATACAACACATACACTGAGATCTTACAGAGGTCTCCAGGAGATCAATTTCAGAGCAGTTTGCGTTGACTTTTTATCCAGTTGCCTGAGAGGGAATGTGTTTGAAAATATTGCTCCAAACCTACACAAGAGCGCATAATTTCTAGAAAAATATGAATGAAACCATTTATCTGTTATACTTCCCCATTTCCCCATAGATTTGTGTACTGCTGAGCACCATCTTTCAAAGACAAACCCCACAGCAGAGTGTAATCGATGTTACAGATGGAAAAGTTATGTCATCCAGTCTGTCTCCAGGCCAGTCTAGGGCTGTACGTGACTGCATGTTTCAGTGCTTTGTCAATTCTAGATTAATATGTCACAAATAACAGCTTTCTGCTCTGCCACTGAAAAACTATTCCATAGCTAAAAGGTAATTTTTTAAAATTGATATTCATTTTATGTTCTTACTTTCTCTTTATTTCTCCCATTAGCGCACTTCACACCACCTCTTTTCTGTCCTCCTCCTCCTGTCTGGCCCCCAGTGTTTGTACCTTTCGAAGATGTGTAGATTTTTTATCGTGTGCAGCTTCAGTTGATGTGTCATCCATTACACTCATTTAATTCATCTGCTCTTTCCACAAAAGTTCTTCAGATCTCAGATCTGTCTTATTGCTTTTCTCTGACCTCTCTTTTGCCTCTGTTTTCCTGACGTGTCCAGAACTGAGCACAGGAACACATGCTGAGCTCCACCTGAGCTACTGCCAAGAATGTTTTCTTTCTCAGTTGTGTAATACTGAAAAATAAATGCTCGGCATGTGTTTCTCACAGGGGCATATATATAATATATATATCATATTATATATATGATATATAATTATCTATATATATATATAATATATATCAGTTTGTGTATGTACCTTGGGCAGTTGCTTTCACTGCCCATCATATCACTTTTTCAGAAACTTCATTAATTCAGCATTAAAACATGCACGCTTTCCTCTGACATGTCCTGAAAATCTGCGCTCTTAATCATTCCTCTAGTGACAAAATGCAACATCCTTGCAACACACCTTCCTTTTGCAAAACTGATACAGGCATGGCAAAATTCACAGCATGCAGCAGGATAATCCAATTCAGTGCCAACAAGCCTGAAGCATGAAGAAGTCTTTTTTTTGTCATTACTGGAGAGCAAATCTGCATGAAAGTGCATGTTTGGAGGCACACTGGTGAGTCAGTGCTTAGTGCTACCAGCTGGAAGGGGCAGATGAGGTGACGATAGCAGAGTTGTTCAGGCAGCAGTTGAGATCACTGAAGGGAACAGTATTTTCTTCCAAACAGAAAGACAGCAGCCTGCTCTTCACATCAGCTGGCTGGATAGAACCTGGGAGTTAATCTAACCTCTTGACAGTCCTCTGGTCTCAAGAATGGCAATGGGAATGGGCTGGGTGTTAGTGAGTTCATTTCCATGTGTCTGCTGTGCTTGGGGGAGGCAATGAAGCGACTGTGTTGTTGTTTTAGATAGTATAACAAGGAAATGCAGCAAATTAAAAGATGCATCAGAGGCTGTGAAATAAAAACAGCATTATCCTATGAAAATATGAAATTATACCCCCTGTAAATAAATCTAGCTAGAAAATTAACTGATGATAATGAAGTACAGGAATTGTTGGAGCACATGCAGCCAGGGAGTTTGGGCAGTGTTTACAAGCAGTGTAGTTGATGGTGGCTGCTGGACTTCATGTTGCACTTGCTCTGCTCTTCAAAATACCTGGTGAGAAGGTTTCAGGAGTTTGCCATTCATCACTTGACAGCTGTATTAATCTCTGTCTTCACATATACATAGATTTTATTTTTGTATGTGTATATAAATATATAAAAAGATGAGTGATTGTGCATGAATTTCTCTTCAAGTCATTTATTTGGATTGCAATTGTGTTTTTTGTCATGAGTTTACTTGTGCTGGAAGCAGACATAACAGAAACAACCTCTAGTACTGAAGGACTTAAAAAGTATGTGAGTAAATACAGGAAAAGCTGGGACCCATTTCAGTAAAAACAACAACAAAAGAATAAAATAGTGGCAGTAGCAATTAATAATATCTTGGAGTTCTTTAGTGAGGCCCTAGCAACTCCAAATTATATCCAGGTAGCTGCATTGTTCATTGTCCTTATACAGGGCAACTTACACTGTATACTGTAATTTACAGTGGAGTTGCCTTGATCTTACTGATGAATTAAAATTGCACTATCGAAGCACAAAATATTTTAATATAAATAGCAGCTCCCTTGTTCTCTGCTGAAAACAGCACTGGTTCCCTCACTGACGAATTAACTATAGAGAAGAAAAATAAATAAGCGCATTTCCTGCTCTAACCATCAGTCTTTGTCATGTATACATTTTAGATTCACATATCTAAAGTCAAACTGAATCCATTCCCTTGCCAATGCCATAACTTGCTTTAGAATGGCTTTGTTAGTACTTGTGAGTGTAACTGTGTCCTCCTTAAAACCATCAAAACTTTTGTCAAATATCTGTCAAATGATAAAGAACAAATATCTTTTAAAGTTTTTTCAAGGCAGAATGTATAAGAATGTACAAATTCTTTGAGCGCCCTTTTAATGTCTTGTGATGAACAAATAAGTCTATCTAAAATCAGTACTGCTAGCTAGTTTCCAGTGCTATTTTGTGGAAAATGGATCAGAACGTCATGACTTGGAGATGATGATAAAGTAGTGATAAAATTTCTGCATAAGGTGAGTCTTATTCTGAGTAAGAGCCTTCATCTGTTTTTCTGCAGCTAGCTGCAGTGCAAGCACTTTGCTAAGAAGCCATGGGCTGGAACATCTCTGATATCTTCCAGGGACATGGGAGGTTTTTGTGTTACTCTTTTCTCTTTGGAACATGTCAGGTTGAAGAGATACCTGCAGACACAGTAGGACAACTCACCTCTAGAAGTTACGGTGTTTCTCTTGAGAATTGAGGGCTCCTCCAGAAGATAAATGGCATGGTTTTTTGCCCTCTTAGTTCTCTCAACGCTTTTTAAGCCTTCATTCCTAAATACCCAAAGACATCATATAAATGCATTAAGTGAGTTTACATGCCTGAGATTTTACTACCATACAAGCAGCAATCAATAACTGGAAGTCTATTTCCACCTTCCTGTCTTCAACAGGTGTCTTAGTGAAAAGTCTCTCGTTAAGATCTTTATAATTTACTTGAATATAAAACTCCAGTCTCTCTTGGGTGCAAAATTTGATCTCTTCAAAAAGATGGTGTAAAAGGCAATATGAACATGATTGGCTCGCACAGTGATTTGGAATTCATGAGCATCCTTGAGGATACTTAAACCCTGCTATTTGCCCACCTCTAGATCTGAGTTACTTCTTAGTTGTCAGAACAAATACTTCAGATCTATCATATAAGAACTTCTTTGACCTCAGAATGATTTCTGATCAAATGAGAGATGCAGAGAGTTGTCTGGGGGAATAAGATCTTGTGAATTATTAGATATTTTCAGGAGTCTGTATTTATTCTCTGCAGCACTGACAACAAGATTAAACTGAATACTAAACAAGCATGTAGTTTTTTATTATATGATGGCTATTTAATTTTATTATATTTTCCTGGCTTCTGCAATCTTATGCCACACAAAAACTCTGATTATTTTTTTTTTACTGAATTGAGCTGTTACCATGTGTTCAGTGTTTTTAGTGGCCTTAAATAGTGTTTCCCTTGACAGTCTGTTTCCAGACTTTAAAAGTATGAAAGAAATCAATTTCCATGCCTCTCAAAAGCTCAGTGCATATATAGGAAGGTTGCACAGCTGTGTTCGCCCAAAAATACTCATTCCCCCCACCAAAGCACAACAAACATCATCAAGTGTTTAAATGCCTACAGTTACAGTCGAATTTTAGGAAGATTGGTGTCTGGTTAAAACCTCATTGCAAATGAGTCCTGAAAAGTCAAGATGTCACTTTTTACGCAAACGCAATTCCCTAATTTCTGATTATCGACTTAGCTGAGCTAAATGAGTTAACTAAGGTGGCTGTTTTTTAGTGCACTTTTGGTATGCATCACAAGTACCTGCACTCTCCCAGAAACTCTATTGAAAGAAGTCACTCAGGGAGGTAGTGGGGCCAGCATACATGGGAACACCTTTTGTTGCACCGACACAGAGAAGACAGTGCTGGGTTGGCAGCAGTATTCACAAATTGTTAGGACTATTTTTGAGCACAAGATGAGTGAGTTCACACTATCCAGACAGAGCAAGGCAAAGTGCAAACGTACCATTTACTGAAGCCGTTCAATTAAACAAAAGTCCCTACAAAGAAAATGGTTTTATAGCATGTCATGAAAAAATACTTGCCTTTTACTTTAAAAAGAAAAAAGACTGTTTAAGGGGGGTGATTGTAGAGTATGTACCACTTCTAACAGATTTGCTGTGCAGAAGTACATAAGTGTGACTGATGTAGAGGTACTTGTTTATTATAGAGCACATTTCAATGCAGTAATCATAAATATTGCTAAGGTTGTGCTCTGTTGAAATATGACCTACATACTCTTGATTGTTTGTGTTACGTGATTTGTCTGACACCCATTACATTCTGGGTAATGGCAGCCATTTGTTGCTGTGCACAGCAGGCTCTTTTGACAAAAGAAAATAGGCAGCAATAAAAAAGCTATAGTCTGAATTACATTCTGCACAGTGCTGCACTGCTGAGAGTTTGTGCAAGTGTGTTAACAATGCTCTGAACTGCCTCTTGTCAGCCTTCAGCCCGTAATGGCCATCTGTCCTTCCATAAATCTGTCAAAACCTGCTAAGTTCAAGAGAGCACAGAATATACCTTGTACTGTCAACGCTAAAATGTACACTTTTGCAGAGAAATTGGTGTATATGAAATAAAGGTTATCGAATACTGTAACACTTGATTTAGGAGCATGGCCTGAAGTGAAGATTAGCAGTGATTAGTGTAACGATGAGCAGAAGTGACACCAGTGAGCAAGTGTGCAGCCTTACCATTTTCTCAAAGTTCACATTTTGGGCACTGGTCATGGGATGTGCTGAAGGCAGACTCTATAGCACCAACTTAAACAAGAACCAATTCAAAGCCTTACTCCCCCTTCATCCCCCAGTGGAAGTTTGTTCAAAAGTTAACTGAACATTTTTCAACTTGTATCTGTTTATACTTGCTTGTGCGCTTCCTGCTTCTGCTGAAAACCAGGAAAAGAGCCAAAATGCCACGAGGAAGTCCTTTCTTAGGATGTCCCCAGCACAATTTTGCCAGCAAAAGAAGTGCCAGTAAATTTGGCTCAGTCTGTACTTTTGGAAGGGTTTTTTTGTTGTTATTTTTTCCCCTCCCATCTGAAGACTGTTGGACTCCTCATTGAGCTTCTGGAAACTGTTATGTTCTGAGTATTATTTGCTTTCTGTCAGGGCTATCTTTAAAGAAATGGGAATGGAAACAATATTTTGTTTTGAATGTTAGATTATGTCCTGGGTTTCTTGTACTGAAATTTTCATGTGTGCAGATATTTGAGACATTTACTGTGGAGTGGTTGAATTTTATAAGGATGGGCTGGAATTAATATTGTCCTACTTCATTCTTTTGTTAAAAACACATCTGAAAATTCAGTAACTAACCCCAGGTCATTTCTGGGGCTATACTATTTCATAACTAAAAGTGCTGATTTTTGGTTGGTTTGTTTTATTTTGTTTTTTATTTAGAAAACAATCCTTACTTACTCAAATATTGAATGTCACTTTAGATTTTTAACCCAGAAATGATTACTGAAGAATTTGGAAGAGGCTTGATCATTTTGCTGGAAATTTGTTTGGCAAACAGAAATATTTGTTAGTAAGGAGGTAGATAAGGTGTGAAATCTATGCTGCTGAATTAGATGAATTTTTGGGAAGGAAATGAAAATTGAGGACAAATTAGAGGAAATAGTTGATGACTTAGCACAAAACCTTTTCAATTTTAAATTCATATTTGGGGTAACTAGACTTACAGTACCTTTGCTTCAATTTCTCTGACTTTGGTGGCGTTAGGCAAAGTCTTTACATAACCATGTAACCATTTTTTCCAAGTGCTCAGACAAAATTAGTCTTGTTTCTCACAACTGCTACTCATGTCTTAGTACTCATATCGGGTGTTTGGTTTTTTTTCTGAAACAAATTCATTGCAGACAATGCAGTGGTACTCCCAGTCTCCATTTCTGATCCTTAGGGAGCACTATGCATTGATGAACGTTTTTTTTTCTCTACAGCAAAACACTGTAAAATATGTTCCATTTGCATTGATCTGCTGAGCTCCATTGTATGGTTAAAAAGACAAAACTCTGCAGCCATGTTTGAAACATTCATTTCTTGGAAGTGTCTGCACTCTTTTCATTCTTGCTGTGAAAGTCATGGAAAGCTCATTGCTTGGGCTAGAAAAGGAAATCTTGGACAGCATTGTTCAGTGTGCTGTTATTCTGCGCAGGGTTATTCTTTATAAAGTCTGAAGAACTTCTATGATTTAAACATGAATTAATGGAAGGTGTTGCTTTGGCTTGCAGGTTTTACTAGAATGGGCTGCAGTCCTTCCTGCAATTTCATCTCACTGTAGTGATGTAATGTACTACAGTTGTGTGAAAAATCCTGGTAGCTAGTGATATTGTTAATCTTGAAATTCTTATCAGTTTCATATCTACTCCTTATTTCATGACTTCTACTAATATTTTGTTCTAGATGCAGCGGTTCATTACAATTGTACTAGCCTCATTGTTCACTTAGGTTTCAGTTGCCGAACTACATTTCAGGCAAAATGTATTAGTTTTACTTACAAGAATGTATTATACGTACATTAGCAATGGTTTACTAAGTTAATGAACTGTGTAGACAAAGAGTCATTGCAGTCAAGTTGCAGAGTTGCTGTACTTCCTTACATTCAAGTTTTGTGTACTGCACAAGTTGCTTTGGTAGTGCTCATTTATTTTTCTTGGACTTCCTTTCATTCAGGTTTTTGTCTGCTAATTTCCTTAGATGTTTGACTGTGCCAGTCCTTTACTTTTCATTTTTGTATAAAAATCTTTTTGATTTTTATCAGAAAAGTCTTTTGATTTTTATCTCTTGATCTTTTCTATCAGAGTCTGCAGGGAGGCGGGTATCGTAAAAGAAGAGGAGGGGCAGAAAGGATGTTGAAGATTAATGGCCATGCATTAGTACTGTTGCTATTGTTGTCACCAGAACTTTGGTGTCTCAAACCCTAAACACTCTAATTTCCAGATGAATTAAATTAAATTGATGTAGAATGAGTCTTGTTTTTTTAAATCTATTTTAAAGAAGCATGTGTGTCTTCACTAAAATTTGTCTGCTTAAAAATCTGTTCCTCCTTTTTTTTCCTTCAGGCCTAACTCCACCTACGACCCCTCCTCATAAAGCCAACCAGGATAATCCTTTCAGGACTTCACCTAAGCCGAAGTCATCATGCAAGACTGTTGCACCACCTTCAAAAAAGCCCCGTTATAGTGAGTCTTCCAGTTCTCAAGGAAACAACCCAGTCAAGAAGGGTCCAGAACAGACTGAGCTGTATGCACAGCTTAGCAAGACTACAGCACTGTCCAGTGGACATGAGGAGAGAAAGACAAAACGGCCCAGTTTGCGGCTGTTTGGTGACCATGACTACTGTCAATCTGTGAATTCAAAGTCGGAAATACACATTAAAATATCCCAGGAACTTCAGGACTCCAGACAACTAGAATTTAAGGATTCTTCACCTGGGTGGCAGTGTCAGATTTGTTCTTCTTTAGGACAAGACCAGTATTTCAAGAAAGAGACTTTACAGACAAGTAAGCAGGGATCCCAAGGTAATAACAGAAAACAGCTCCAAGACCAAGAAATTCGGGCTGAACTTAATAAGCATTTTGGTCACCCCAGCCAAGCTGTTTTTGATGAAGAAGCAGATAAGACCGGTGAACTAAGGGACAGTGATTACAGTAATGAACAATTTTCCAAACTACCTATGTTTATAAATTCAGGACTAGCAATGGATGGTCTCTTTGATGACAGTGAAGATGAAAGTGATAAACTATGCTACCCTTGGGATGGGACACAAGCCTATTCATTATTTGACGTATCGCCTTCTTGCTCTTCTTTTAACTCTCCATGCAGAGATTCAGTATCTCCACCCAAATCCTTATTTTCTCAAAGATCCCAAAGGACACGCTCTAGATCAAGGTCCTTTCCTCAACGCAGGTCCTGTTCCCGTTCTCCATATTCCCGATCGAGATCAAGGTCACCCTGCAGTAGATCCTCTTCAAGGTACAGTGAGCAATTTCATACATCAGCATTGTTGGTAATAAGAAGGAAAACAGCAAAAGCACAGAGTGTCTTGAAGGAAATAAACAATTTAAAAAAAAAAAAAAGAACCCATGATCCAGTGCAATTGTTTTTATTGCCCCGATCTGATTAGCTCTGAAGGTTACAGGATTGCTGCGGAAACATTTGTTGCCATTATCCTTTAAATTTGCCAAGTTTACACTTTCTGAGTGGAGCCAGTCAGGTCAGAGGCAGAGCAATTGGAGAGATATACACAACTAACCTTTCCCATTATCTGCAAGCTGCCCGGTGCCAATCTAGCTGCAGTCCCTATCAGATGAAGTTGACAGAGGCTGACTCTCTGCTCTCTGTTAGCCTCAATAAGAAACATTATGGGAGGGGGGCAAAATCACTTGAGGCCCCTTAGTTGACTAGGAGATCGCAAACTGTCACTGGAAAATTTCACTGGTAGCTTAGAAGAAATTGTAAGGTCAGGTAAGAGGTAGCCCAGGAGAAAATGGTGTCAATAGATTCAATGTGAATGACAGAGGTGAATGGTTTTAGTTTTTCCTTCTTTCCTGCAGATCTTGCCACTGTTACGAGTCCAGCCACTGTAGACACCAAGCACACCGAAGTTCTCCCTCACGTGCAAGGTCGCGATCCAGATCACCGTACAGTCGCAGACCCAGGTAGTGCATTTTGTGTGCATTTAGTGTGCTTTTCAGCTGGTTCTGAAGAGATAATAAAGCAATCCAGAAACTGTATTACTAAATTTACATTAAGAAATGCAGGTGCTTGATTTAATGACTAAGTTATGTTTCCTAGATATGACAGCTATGAGGAATATCAGCATGAAAGGCTGAAGAGGGAAGAATACCGCAAAGAGTATGAAAAACGGGAATCTGAAAGGGCCAAACAAAGGGAGAGACAGAGGCAGAAAGCAATTGTAAGCACTGTGAAGATAACTTTCATTTTGAAATAGGTTTCTGTTTCTTTTGGTAGATTTCTAAAACTCGGAATGAGATTCTATTTTATTTCTTCTTCGTAATGGAACAAACAAAATGCAAATATCTGTCTATGTGCATTTCTTTGTATTTAGAATTTTAGGCAAATATGTGTTTTCATAACAATTTGTGTTTTGATTGTACAGCACTAATTTTTTCAGCTTCTTTAAATTGCAACTCTCCAGGTCAGTCAACAGAAAACAAACAAACAAACAAACAAAAAACAGAAAAAAAAAATTTTCTAGGAAAAGGCTTCATCCCAGACAGCAAAGAATTAAAAGTGACCCAGTCTATTCCTTATAGTGATCTATCAGTGAACCCACAGTTTTTACTGTATAACACCTACCAGGATGCCAATAGTCAAGTCTAGTTTCAGTATTTCTCTTCCTCTGCAGAAGCAATGTAAGAAGCCAGTCAGCTTACATACTGGTCACTGGATGTTTCCAGTAGCTGTAATTATCTATACAGAGAGTACAGAATTTGAAACTGACATCCAGAGGCATGTCTTTTATTGTTTTTTTCTTGTCTATAACACAGTTTACTTTTAAGGTGTTTTTAAGATTTTTTTAGCAAAACAGTCTGAAGACATGATGCAATTTAAAAATGTCATTTCACGCTGCCCCTTTCACAATGAACGTGTGTTACTTGATTAATTTGTTCATCTGACTGAAGTACCTGCAGCAAAGGAAATACCCATGAGGTGATCAGCAACTCCCTTGCCTGTAGTAGCAGCAGGACAGAAAAATGGCTGTTAAATAGACGTGTGGATTTTGCCCCCTTCTAGTTTCCCTGCATGATGGTTTTGATAAGTTGGGAAGTTGGGAGCTGCTGTAATTCTGGACTCCTGTTGTGATTGTTAAGCCTATCTGGTGGGCTCCCTTTACTGCTGCTCTGCACAAACTGGTGTGTACTGGGATGCTTACCTTCATTTCCACATTTTCCCTTAATGTTCTCTCCAAAGCTCACCAAAATGAGTAGATCTCTTTCCAATATGTTTAGTGAACTTTGTAGTAAAAAACTGTTACAGACTCTGTGGCATTTCTCCAAATACTTACACCCTCAAAACTACTTGTATGAAGATCAGCAGAGACTGGCATAGTCTGTGGCAATGAGAAGTTCTGGGAAGGAATATGCATCTTTAGTTTATGGATTTCATCTCTGTTGCTACTGTTCTTAGTGAGCTTGATAAATCATTTTGCTTTTCTCTGCATCAGGTGACCTCTGTACATAGTATAGGTGATACATAAATTTTGTAAAGCATGAGATTCAGAGCTATAGCATGTTCTGATCTGAAACTCAGGGAAGCTGTCAATGGTTTATGGGCAGGTCTGCACAGTTCGGTGACTAATGGGGCAGGGGGGACTCATGGGACCACACCCCAGAAAAGGGGAAAGGGTATGGAGATGGGCCTAAAAACAAAACAGCAGCAATGATCTGAGGAGAAACAGACTAATCTACTAAATATGATAGTGGAATGTAAGATAACAATACAATATAATTGGAATTGAGGCTAAGAAATAAAAAAAAAAATGAGAGTGTGTCCAAAAACTGAAGGCTTTGCTCTAATGCTGAAGGCGAGATGGCTAGGGAGCACACACACTGCAGAGATGAGCAGAAAGGAAAAAGGGACCTCTCGTGACTTGCAAACAGTTTTATCTTTCCCTCTGAATGGAAAACAGAAACACAAAATCCTCTGGGGCATGTAGTTGTTCTTCTCTTCTGAGAACCAGGTACCCAGAAATATCAACAATCCATGGAACTGGAGTATTAACTCTTTATCTCTCAGTGCACTACATAATGTTGTGATGTAGAATACTGATAACAAAAATCATAAAACCATGACAGAATGCAATGGAAGAATTTTGCATGGCTTCAGAATGGGCTATATTTAAGTCAACTGTTGGTGTTTTTCTTGCTTCCATCTGTTTAGAGATAATACTGACTTCTGGCAATCGTAACTTACATGGCTGTTCTTTCTTAGATCTAACATAAATTAGAGTTTTAAGTAGACCTCTGTCATGAATGTATCTTGCTACTTCTCAATTACTGTATCTTATTGGTGTAAAAACCTGAATCCTATTGTGAAGATAGAAAATTTGATTTAGTTTAAAATGAGGAAATGTTTGGCTACTAACTAATGAAGGGAAAAGGAGAAAGAGAAGATCTCTGAAAAGCTCTAGATGTGCTGCACCATCATTTCTTCCAAGTTAAGAAATTTAGTATTTTCTAATTCAAGGCTGAATTTATTTTCTCTTCTAAAGTGAGCACTGTCATGTTAATTAACTTCATTAATGAAATTGTGTATTAATAAACATAAATAAATTAGACCTGAAATGACTTAGTGAGATGACAAATCATATATTTATAAAATATCAATAAATAGAACATGGCAAAAATTTTAAAAGCAGTCATCCAAGAGCTGCAGGAAATGTAGCTGAAGTCATATTAACTCCTTTCTCCAAAGTCTACCAACACTTTCACTTTAAAAATCTGTGTTGAATCATGCCAGTTTATTCCCTGTGCGAATCAGTGGGGGATAGGAGAAAGGGGAGCATAGAAAGGGAAGCCTTGATCCCACAAAGTCAGTGACAAGGTGCATATTAACTGAACAAAGGTGCTATTTTTCGTCCAGCATTCTCTGTTCCCTTTCTTATTGATTTTGGATTATGAGTCCTTTTGGATTATGAGTCTCTTATGTGTCACTCTTTTCTTTCCAAAAAGGCCCAACTCATTTACTGTTCAGTCATAAGGATCCTTTTTGTCTTTCCTTGAACTCTTTCTGTAAGTTCCGTAAGTTTAGATTTCCATAAATTCTGCACTGGAGTCTATTTTCCTTTCTTTCTAGCTCATCCTCATGCTGCAAGAACTGGTTCAAGACAACATGCCTCCTAATTCTGTTAAAAGTGCAGCTCAGAGATTGAGCACTATTAGGGCCCCAGGTGCTGGCTACTCAGGGAAGGTAGCTTTTCTTCATGAAAAGCACTGTGCTGAGGTCTCAGGGAGCTGGCTTTAGAAAAGATGCACAGAGGAAAGGGAACAGAAACCATGACTCAACAAAAAGCCATCAGGTCTTACTGGTTCAATATCTGGAATTACTCTCATGTGACAACATGAGTGTAAATCCCAGGAAAAAGAGATGAGAAAAAAATAGGCATATTTTAATCTGTCAAAACCATATGTGTAGCAATGCCTTCTGATTGTGCAAGCAGCTTGTATTTTGGCAGATGCAAAGACATATTTGTAGATTGCTGAAGAGGCTTGTTTTAGAAGCCTTTGCTCATGCTATGTGGCAAAGGTACATTTAAATGGCTACATGGTTAGTCTGCATGTGATGTATTGGCTGCAGTAGCTTCAGATCAACTGAAAGCCTGAGCTGGCATTTCTGTGTATGGGTTCCTATCTAGATTTACATCTATGGTGGCTTAACTTCAAAAAGTTCTCTGTTGTTTTTCTCTTTGCTTCTTTTCTGTCTTCCCTTCTCCGGTGACTGGAGATTCAGTGTCTTTTTCATGGAGTGGGATCTTTATTTTGAGCAGTCTCACACAAAAAATATAGACTACCAAGCCCACAAGTCATTTTTCAGTTAGAAAGTCAGGATATTTTTGTCATATTTGTATTCTTGGTTATGATGCGTTTTTTAATGGAATAAATTTTAGCAGAGTGTAGCTTGATCTTGATGTCACTTGTCCACAATTCATTTTAGAATGGGTCCTCATTGAACAGAAGGCCAGCCTGCCACCAAGACTCACTTAACTTAATAGTGCTCTCCAGACCATAGCAGAGACACATTCATTCATCATGAAGCTCCAGGAACAACTGCAGGACAGAAAAGGCTACTCAGAGCTTTCTAGAAATTACAATCTAACCCCCAGCCAGGGCAGATTGCTCTGTTTTGCCAAGAAGACTGAGGACTGTTTTTTTCTTGTTGTATACCCCAGGCATTTCTTAGGCATGCAGGCTTTTCCTGCAGCAGCTTATTAGACCACATAGCAAATACCTTTCGGGGCATGGCTTCTACCTGAGTAGAAAATTAATATTAGCATTACTACTTTCATATGTAAGTGCTGACAGTCTGTATGAAACAAGCCCCTGTCCCAGAGAGCTTACAGATACAATAAGATAAATGCACTGTGATGCCACTGCAACAGAAAAGAAACACATGGTTTTAAAGAAAATAAATTTCTCTACAACAGGAAGGCAGGAGAAAGGTGGTTTCCTAAATGAATGCTTGGGTTCTTTGAAGTCTGAAACCAGACACAGCCCATAATGGAGTAAATTCCCACAAATGAAGGAGCAAATGCATGTTGGTTGTTTAGTTTGGACTTTTTTTTTTGTGGTTGCTCATCTTGGTGGGCCTGATCCCAGGCATTATACTTTTTCTGTACAATTTACTGAAAATATTTCAAACGGATTGTTTAAAATCTTGAGTTTTATTGATTGATTGCTATGTTTTCAGCAGTCACCCTGGGAGGTGGTAGAATTTTTTCAGCCCTCAGCCACACAAGATTTGAGAACATTGTGCAGTGTTCTTTTTTCTTCTTCATTTGTTGCGAGTCTTCCTTTTGCCATTCATACATGTCTACCGCTCATAGTTAGCCTACAAGTCTTCTTTAATACAGAATCTACAGCAATGTTTCTTACTATTGTTAGGATGTCCGAATCTTACATTTTACTGGCTCTTGCATTCATAGCATTTCTTTTTTTCAGACTCTGCCCAACCACTCTCATTGCTTTTTCGAAATGTTTTCTGGCCTTCAGTTCTAAGGATGAAGATCAAGTCACAAAACACTGGGCATGTAAGGCGTTACAGAAAGGGGCTTGTACCCAGCCAGCCACGTGTGCTGCAGGAAGCAGCAGAGCTTTGATAAGCTTAGAATCATGGAATCAGTAAGGTTGGAAAAGACCACTGAGATCATCTAGTCCATCTGTCAAACCATCATCACCTTGTTCACTAAACCATATCCCTCAGTGCCATGCTTATCCTTTTCTTGAAAACCTCTAGGGACAATGTCTTCATCACCTCCTGGGCAGCTTATTCCAATACCTCACTAGGAAGTTTTTTGTAATATCCAACCCAAACCTCCCCTGACACAACTTAAGGTCATTACTTCTTGTCCTGTCACTGTTCACCTGGGAGAAGAGGTCGACCCCCACCTCAGTACAACCTCCTTTCAGGAAGTTGTAGAGATTGATATGGTCTCCCCTGAGCCTCCTCTTTTCCAGACTAAACCATCCCTCTTCCCTCAGCCACACCTCCCAAGACTTGTGCTCCAGAGACCTCACCATCTTTAATACCCTTCTCTAGACATGCTTGTAGTGAAGGGCCCAAAACTGAACACAGCCTCGAGGTTGGGCCTCACCAGTGCTGAGTACAGAGGGGCAATCACCTCCCTGGTCCTGCTGGCTATACTGTTTCTAGTACAAGCCAGGATGCCATTGGCCTTCTTGGCCACATGGGCACACTGCTGGCTCATGTTCAGCTAACAGCTCCAGATCCTATTCCTCCATGCTGCTTGTGGTAGACCTCAACTTTATAATTTCTTCTCATTTTTAGCCTCATCTTCACATAGAGCATAGTTGAGCTCTTGGAGAGCTAGTTATGTACCACAGATGTGCAGACAAAAAATGGTAGGGGAAATGAGGACAGCAGCACCCCAGGGTGCAGTAAGGAGAGGCAGGCAAAGAAAACAAATGTTAGGTGAAGAAGCCAGGTACAAAAAAACATGTGAAAACTAATATGTCTGTTGGCCTGAGATTTAATCAAATTAAAGGTTAAGAACGAGGAAGGGGAAACAAAGTGAATTTTGTAGACAGCCTTTGCAAGACAAAAAGACCTTTAACATCAGAGGTATTTTGGAGATGAGTGATAGTTTTATTGACACTTAAATTTGTGAAGGTATATCCTGGTCCTATTTTCTCCAGTCATGCTAATGTTCTAGCACTTTAATTTGATACTTGAAATAGTGATTTTCAGTCTAAGATTCTCTGCCACATTTGCCTCTTCAATTGTTTTTACTGCCAGGAGGAAAGAGCAAGATTAAGAAGAAGGAAATTTAGACAAAGAAGACAGACATACTGGGCTTGAGGAAGCTGTCTACACTCTTCTTTTTTTCTTTATTTACTTGGTAAAACAATGAGCTATGTACACTTAAAAGCCAGGGGAGATTCAGGTTGGATATTAGGAGAAACTTGAGTGGTCTGGCACTAGAACAGGCTGCCCAGGGAGGTGGTCACCATCCCTGGAGGCATTCAAGAAATGCGTAAATGTGGTACTAACAAACATGGTTTGGTAGGCAAAACTGTGGCAGGTGAAAAGTTGAACCAGATGAACTTATAAGTCTTTTCCAACCTTAATGATTCTATGATTCTGTGACTGTAAATCATCTGCATTTCTGAGAGGGAAATATGAACACAATTGTTTGGAGTTTCCTTCAGGTTCATCTTCCCCCATTAAGTTGAAAACAAAGGCTTTTTTCCCTAGTTCTCTAAATTTCCAAGGCGTATATCATCTCCTCTTACAAGCGCAGTATAAAACATACTTAATATGCACATATGGACTTAAGCATGCGACGTGTTACAAAATAAGGGTCTTTAACATTTAGAGGTATGTTATAATCTTGTTAGGCTTGTATAACTCTTATTGTTAATGCGAGTAAAATGCAGGTGTCTTTTTAAATACAAATATTTCTTTCATAACCACTTTAAATAAGCCAAAGCTAAACAAGATAAAGACAGTGCTGTATGAATCCTGTGTTCCCCAGTACCTCATACCATCACAGCATTCTGCTTAAAAAAAATACTTGAACGAACATCTCCTCATGTACACACTAGAGGACATATGGTGCATTTCAGCTTTAAATTTGAATTTCCTTAATTTTGCAAGTTTAACTTACTCCCTTAATGATAGTTTAACAGGCGTTTCTTAGTTGTTCAGTTTTGTTTTATTACAGTTGTCTTAAAGGGATATTAGATATATAAAAGTTATTAGAAGGATAGAGGAAGTAAAAATTGCAAAGGCATGCACACAGACTTATGGGAGAGCATGCAGTAGTTACTTCCATCACTCTGCAATATAACAATCTCCGTGTCAGGGAGTGAAACATTATGTTTTTTCAGTCGAGATGTATTATCTCAGCTAAAGTATATTAAGCAGTCTGCTATGTTATGTTCTGCTCCATCTGGTCAGCCATTTAGGTTCAATAGCAAGTATCAATGGAATTGTTTCTTATCAAGTGCTTCAATGCAGTTAAATTCTTGATTTGGTAAAACAGTCTGAAAAAGTAATTACTGTGCATATGCAGATTTTCTTCTTTTTGAAGTTTATAGCACCCAGCCATACTGAAAGGAAGCAGAATGAGAATGGGGGAAATGGAAGAAATGCAGATTTCTGTTGCTTGCTGTCTATATTTCCTAGTTCGTAGAAGGTCTACCCAGACTCCTGAATCAGGAGAGTACGAGTAAGAAACAGCAACTGTCTGTAAAGTAACCCTTCTTCATAAATGTGTGGCCACCTGTGAGCATGCTTGCCCTTCTTTTAGCTGTGCTAACTTCTTTAGGCTTTATGCCTACAACAAAGAGCAAGAACAGCTTTTAAATGGTGAACTTTAGAGGGCATAACATTTAAAAGTGAAATTGTCTGTCCCAGCAGGGCAGTGGAGGACTATTAATCCTATCACCTTGGTTCCTTGGATAATCAATAGAAGCAGTAGTTTCAGGCATTTAAATGAGACAGTTACATGATCTCTTCAAGTAAGAAGAGCATATACATGCTTTGGAGGAGCCGTCAGGGTCTCCAGTTGGCCAACTAGGGATACAAAGGATCCAGAAAGTTGCAGTGATCACTTCCTGTGCTACACCTTAATGAGTAGGGGTTTTGTCCAAGAAGTGAGAGTAGTGGGAGCTGTTCTCTGGAGCTTTGGACTCATATCTTTAGTTTCTCTGGAGCATAGATGAACTGGATTTGAGCCCCTGAGATTTGCGAGGCCAGGAAAAGTGTAAGCAAAAATAGTTGACTCAGTACACTAGTGAGAAGTGTCTTCTGTTGGGAGGCAGGTACATTCGTTTCAACTTCCAGCTGCAAGAATTGTTCGGTTATTTCGCATTAAGCAGCTTCGGGGAGCAGTGTGCTGTCCTGGGAACGGGGAACCATGATTTTGCATACCCATGTGAAGAGGAGTTCTGATGGTCCCTTTATCTCAGATGAGTGCTCAAGCAAGTAAAGAAGCGGCATCAGGATAATTTCTGTTTCCACAAGCATTGTGGTCTGATCTCAGTCCTACTGTCTTATGTGTGCCAATTAGCTGTGGTCCAGAAATTACTGGTGTCTTATACCTGTCTAGGGACTCTCAGAAAACATACATTTTGTGCTATAGCTGAACTGTGTCACTGTAAGGTACCTTACTCTTCAAGCTAGGATGCTTCTGAGCAGGAATGCAAATTTGTATTTAGGTCCCTAGAGCCTTCAGCATTGCACAGTTGAGGTGCCATTAGCCTTTAGGCACCTCCAGGTTAAGATAGTCAAGAATTCTCAGCAGTCAGTATAGCTCCTTTGGAATTCAGCACCTACATTCTATGCAAGTCTCAGGTGCCCAAGTTGATGGTTTAAACTGACATTGCTCCACTGACTGACAGATTTACACCAGCTAAGAATTTGATGGAGGTACAATTTATGGAACAGACACGTGGGTGTGTGCAAAGGCTGAGCAAGAGGCCAGTAGTTCTCCAGGCCAAAGGCAATCAGAGCATTGGGGCTTTCTAAAGCTACTACTTCTTTGCTCTGATTATTAAGGTCAGTGGTTTGAAGATCTCTTTTTCACTTTTTTTTTTGGTTGCAACTCACTGAATGACTTTGTCCCCAGTAAGGTGCTAATCCAAATATTCTTAAAGTGACTCTTGACAGGTTTTCCCTGTCTTTCTGTCATTCTCCTGAGCATTTTCACTCAGAAAGGAGCTATATGACCATGACTCGATTATTTTTAAAGCGTCTCTGTTAGTTTGCGCCAAGTGTCAAAGGAACCTGCAAATGACCCCCTAATCTTTAAAATCAGGAAATTCTGTCATGTTCTTCTTCCTAGCAAACCCAAAGGCAGTGGTGACCACAGGAAATATTTTATTCTTCTCTCTTTCCTCCATTTATTTATTTTAATATTTATTTTAATAAAACTCATTTTCTGGACTCCTCACAGTCTTCCCTCTGTTTAAGGTATAGATTGTGATGGAACTGCTGATTGCAGAATGAGTCAGCTAATGAGTCATCTGAGTTTATAATGTTATGTCTGTAATCCATTTTGTTATGTTTATGATACACTTACACACTTGCTGCATTATTTTATGCTGCTTCACATCTTAATTCCCAGTGTTGTATAGCTAGTAAGAGAAAGGGGATTGGTCCTGGAGAATTTGTAGTCTTAAAGGGCAAGTCATGGGAAGATGGAAGGGAAAAAGATGCAATAAGATACAGAGGGAGTGGTCTGTCATTTTACATAGCAGAACAGTGACAGCACTCAATGAAACCTTCTGGGAGAAAATTACCCAAAAAATCTGGCATCGTTTAAATACCTTAAAGGCTTTCCAGGAGAGAATATTTCAATCATTAGCTGAATGCAGTAGATCTTCTGCAAGTGACTATTAGTATAAATATGCATCCTCTGCCTATCCGTGTGAATGTATTTGTATGCATGTATGTGTAGGGTCCTCTGTATTGCACATTTGGTAAAATCTTGTCCTGCTCTTTCTTAACAGGAAGAGCATCGTGTGATTTATGTGGGTAAAATCAGACCTGACACAACCCGAAAAGAACTGAGGGACCGGTTTGAAGTTTTTGGTGAAATAGAGGAGTGCGCAGTAAATTTGCGGGATGATGGGTAAGAACTTTTCAAATAAGCTCTTGTTTGAGAGCTGCCGTATGTAAAAAATTATGGCAGTAAGATTACTGGTATGGGAGTGTAAGTGTAAGTACTGTTATAGATGGCATGTTGAATTCAAAACCATATTTATTTTCTTTCATCCTTATTTATTAATCTTGCTAGTTGAGATTTCCTGTCCCAGAAGTAAGTATTTAGCTGCATGACAGGACGATCAATGGATGCTGTACTGGCATTTCCACTGCTGGATCTCTTGCAAGTTCTTGCTTTCAGGAAGGGGTTACACAAATGTGTGTTTACTCTTTTTAGCTTTTTTATTTTTCATGACTGTCTTTTTTAATTACAGAGACAGCTATGGTTTCATCACCTACCGCTACACTTGTGATGCCTTTGCTGCTCTTGAAAATGGATACACTTTACGCAGGTCAAATGAACCTGACTTTGAGCTGTACTTTTGTGGACGCAAGCAGTTTTGCAAGTCTAACTATGCAGACCTAGGTAGGTATCTTGCTCTCTGTGAATTAAAGTACATAACTGGAACCATGTTGTAACTCAGAAGAATTTAGTCTGCTTGTTTTTTGTGACCTGCTTCTGTTACTTGAATAGTCGGTGTGAGGGATTTAAAGAAGGTGCTTGTTCCACTTGCATGTTAAAGTCTGCGAATCAGAGCTGTACACTGTATTAACTTTTTCAGATATTTCAGACTGTGAAAATTCTTTTAAAGCCCATCTCCATCATTAATAAAACAAATGCCCAGTATTTAATAGTACATTGCCATACTGAAATGATAGCACCCCAAAAACTTGTTCAATTCTTTACTGTTCATTGGTGTGCTCCTTTTCTCTAACACAATTTGATTATATGAACCTTAAACAAAAACCAAAGTAGAAGCCTCATCCTCTTATCTTTCCCCCAGATTTGCTGTAATCTTATTTTGCTGTGAGTGTATGGTAGAATTTGTCAGAAATACTCCTTAAATGTGATTTGTAGTTTCTTAGGTTTGAAAGCTAGAGGGACTCATGACCAAATCTGACCTGTCCTATAGCAAAGGGCACAGATCTCAGCTGGTGGTTTTCACACTGTCCATCAGCATCTATGTGTCTCCCTGCAAGGACTTCCACTCATGATGTGAGAGGCTCCAGCCAGTGGAGAGAATGGCAGATCTCTTGGTGTTGCTGTCCCATTGGTGTGTGACAGTGATAGCAGAATGATAACTCACCTGGATCTTCCCCAGTTCTGTTCTGGCATAAATGTAGGGTTCTGCCCTATGCTGTAGGTCAGAGTATGATGCTTCCCCTTGCGAGGATGTTTGGAAGTGTTAAAACTCTTATAGGAGGAGTACTGATGTACGTGGATAAAGTGACCATGCAGATTTCCCAAACATCCTTTTAATATTATATTATATTATAATCTCACCTCTTATTTAATTACCTTTGAAAGTATTCATCAAATGTTAAAGCTTTCCTGATGCCTGTATAAATAGTCTAATGGTACGGGAGATGCTCTTTTCTGGATAAAATAGCAAGGGACAGTTTGCTGCTGAATCTATATTAGTCTGATACTGTGGAGTTATTTTTTATGAATAAATGACCACAGTCATTAAAATCCCTGCATAACCCTGTAACACAGTGCTAATGAAATCTTGTATCTACTGCCCTTGGCTTTGTACAATGCAGAAAGTGAATACAAATATATTTTCACTAACCAATTGATGTATTTTCGGAATTAATGATAAAGACGATACACATTGTTCACAATGAATATGCTATAATTCACTTCAGTGGCTATACAGATAATATAAAGCTAAGAAAAGGCAATTGACTTCTGGAGAGATATAAGGTAATGTTGAATATGTAAAAGGTAGCAAGGCATTTGTTGAAATGCAGGCTGATAAAAACAATATAAACGTTATAAGCAGATTGAAGTCTTAACTTGCTTTGACTTATCTTTGGTAGTGGAAGTGAAGGCCTCCTGTGTTTCAGAAAATCTAGGGTTTGAAGTAAGTTGTCTAAAGGGAACCCTCCTGGAATATTATTCATCGCTGAGAGTATTTCCTGGCACAACTTGCCAGAGTGGGATTCACAGAGTATCTCTAAGCAGAGTATTTTCACTTTGTCCCGTTGACAGCTTGAGCCTCTCTACTTCAGACTGCATTCTCTGTATTTCAGTGTATCTGATATTGCTACACAGGCAGGATGAACTTGAAAATTCATGAGCTAGTACAAGGACAGGAAGAATTAATCAGCTTTGGGTTGAGTACAGAAGAAAGAAAACACTTGAAAATAGTAGTCAGAAGTTTAACACCTCTCCTCTGTGAGAAGATATTGTCTTAACAGGACTTGTAATGAACATTTAATTCACAGTATGTCTTATAGAGGTAAATGGGGAGTTCTGATTAATTCAACAGAAGAAATGGCAAGAAAATGGCACTCTCTGTGACATAGAAACCAGGGAGAGCCAGTGCTGAACAGGGATGACTCTAAAAGGAAATACAGTTCTTGCAGTCGAGTCAGTAATTGCTGCAGTGGAACTGTATTGCCACAAAGTGATCCCTCCTTTGCTCTAGGAACAGAATGATGTCCTGGCAACTATTAGCACTGGAGCAGGTATTACATATCCCATCTAAAACACACATTCCACAGATGGTGAACTGCTGTTCTTACTGTTACACTTATGTTACAAAGAGCTGAGGATGCCACCTGAGATTGCTTGTGCAGCAGCATGGAGACTCTGCTCTGAGCTGCTCATGTTCTGAACAAGCAAACCAAAACAGTCAGAGCAGAAAATAAGAGAGATTGAAGGAGGTGTGGTGTGGTGCATCAGGCCCTACGGCAGGTCAGCCCATGGCTGTGTCTCCTGCATGCCTCTCTGCAGACTGTGGTGGCTTTCAGCACAGTCAGCTGCTATCACCTATCTCAGGAAAAGTAAGTTTGGGATATTAGACCTTACAAAACACAGCTGCAGAACCGTAATGCGTTTTTTGGTAGAACACATGTGATGGTTACCTGGACTAGATGTGAACTGGGTGATCTCGAGACATCCCTTCCAACCTCAGCCATTCTATGACTACTTAGAGTCTTAGAGTGGCAGTGCTCAGTCTTTGGAGAAGCTCTTTGGAGTTTACCGGTTCAATACGTACACATTCATTTTATAGTTCACTCATTCTGCTGAAGACATACTATGCATTTTTTAAAGTCTTGTTCTTACAGAAAGCTCCATCCATGCTGAATGGATGGGTGATTTTTGTAGTGTTTGTTCATACTGCTGTGCGAAGAAAAAGATGGAAGCGCTCACCAGCGCCTTGTGCCTGTTAACTCACCTTGCATCTCTTTGGGTTTCAGATTCAAACTCAGATGATTTTGATCCTGCTTCCACTAAAAGCAAGTATGACTCCATGGATTTTGATAGTTTACTTAAAGAGGCACAGCGGAGCCTGCGCAGGTAACATGTATCACACCCGAGGAAAACGGAGGGATGGCGAATACCTCACGGACATCACGTCCTTCAATAATGGACAATTAAAAGTCATACTTAGGAATTTCTCCTACTTTACACTCTCTGTTCAAAACCATGGTTTACATGAACACAGCTGCTCGAGGAGGGAGGAGGCAGAATGGCTTTCCAGCAAGCACACGCGTGTCCATGGGTGTCAGCTTTGCTTTCGCGGGTGACTGGTGGCGGGGCAGCCTGCGGTCCTCTCGCGACCGAGGGCAAACCACATATCATGGCAGCAGTTCCACAGAGATACACTTACAACGTAGAACTTCAAAATGTGTACATAGTGCATTTTAACAAAACGAGAACAAAAGCAAAGCGGAAAAAGAACAAATTTGCGAACTATGGCTGCTGATGTCTGGGAATCAGACACTGCATTTTTTTTTAAATGAAGCTTCTTCTCACAACAGAGTGATAAATGACAATCCAGAAGAAAACGCAGGTCCCACAAGCCTGCAATGTGTTTTAGTTTGAAGATCTTTCTTTTTTTTTTCTTGTTTTTTTTTTTTTCCTTGCAGAAGAGAAAATGAAAGGCTAAAGCTTCCCTAACATTTTGAAGTTTCGTCTTTTAATTCTGACACCCATGTAAATGTCTACAATGTTGATCTTCCACAGCAAAGTTTTCAAAGCCGTGTTAATGGTCAAATGTGCAGCTTGTTCAGCGATTTATTCTAATGAGCGGACGTGGTGTTACATTATTAATGAGAGTTGGATAGAACTATCTGGGTGTGAGCGCAGATAGTTTATTTGCTACGTTCTCTAAAGTAGTTGAGTATTTACAGATGTTAAATGGAGTATTTTTATTTATGTACATACTGTATGACAATGTTTTTTTTTTGTTACAGCTATGCACTGTAAATGCAGCCTTCTTTTCAAAAACTGCTGAATTTTTCTTAATCAAGAATACTCAAATGTAATTATATGAGGTGAAACAATTATTGTACACTAACATATGTAGAAAGCTGAACTTATGCTTATATATATTTGATTGTAAAAAAAAAAAAAGAGAAAAGTGTGTGGGTGAGGACGTGCGAGTGTGTGTGTGTCTGACTGCAAAAACGCTTTACACACATTCATCCCTTCCTTGGTGAGCTTATGTAAGAATTTTGTCAACGATGATCCTAGCCCAAAAGGTGTTAACCACTTCTGCAGTATTTTTCCACATTTTTCTCATTGCTTGGTTTTTTTTTGCAGTTTTATACACTGAATTTGTTAGGGGAATGAAATTTTCTCATCTAAATTTTTCTAGGAGATATCATAATTTTATGTAAAGTCTCTCAAATGGGTAATCATTAAGAAATGTTTTTATTTTATGTATCAACAGTAGTTTTGGAACTAGAGATCAGAAATCTTTTTAAAATGCTATTTTGTTTTAATTTTTGTGATTTTAATTTGATAAAAATACACTGAGGTACTCAGTACAGTATGATTTTTACAGTAATTCTGTGTCTAAACACTGTTCTCGAAGCCAGTAATCTTTTCATTGGCAGAGTTTAATGATGGTATTTATCTATATTTTTTACAGTTATGCATCCTGTATAAATACTGATCCTTCATTCCTTTGTTTACTAAAGAGACATATTTATCAGTTATGATTATCCTATTTATTATAAATTATGAGATGACTAAAATAAGAAAAAGGCCAGTGGAAATTTTATACCTAGGATGCATGATGATTGTCAGTTTGGAGTAAGTGCTTCGTCTGAAAATTCAGCTTTTGCAGAAGCAGTGGTTTTTGTTGGTTTTTTTTTTCTTTTTTTTCTTTTTTTTACTATGCACTAGCATGGCCTCAGATGTGCCCATGACATTGTTGCTGATGACATTGCTTCTGCTAAATTAAATAGAAACTTCAGGAAAGTGAAAGGAAAAAAAACACAACCGTTAGCTACTACTATTCTGAGCATCAGAATTTCATCTGATCTTGGAGTCTCTAGACTGAATCAGCAAAGTTTGGAATTTGCTTGCGAATGTATAGATTTGGTATTCTATTACTGTTTGGCATTCATGACTCCTCTTAAAGGTATGGCACACCTAACTATTTAATCTCCTTTCCCACTCCCAATCTTAGAAAACTGATTCCGCCCCATGCCAGTGCAGTTGATTTTGATGGCTGCATTCATTTTATCACCAGCATATTGTGTTCTGAGAGATTCCACTATCTGTCCTGTTGGATGCTTGCTTGATTTTTCGGCTTCTTATTTCTCAGTAGATAGGTAGCAATAAAAATAAAAAAGAAAAAGGAAAAAAAAAAGAACTTTTTCAGAGGTTCTGTGTTACAACCGTAACATTCTTTAATCTGCATAATTCTCGTTGTTGCTCTGTAGGTTAAAAATGCAGGTATTTTAACTTTGTGTGAATGCCAAACTAAAAGTTTACAGTTTTCCTTTCTGGATTTTGAGTATCTTCTGTTGTAAAGAAAAATATTAAAAGCAATAAATTATTTTTAAGAAATCAATATTTAGTAGATTATATTATGTGTTCAAGGACCAGATGCATTACCTATTTTGCCTTTGAATTTATGTGATTACATTTTAAATACATTTTCTTTTGCCCTATATTGCTGACATGAATAAATTGGTGTGGATTTGTTTTGGGGGGGAGAGGGAAGAGGGAAGCGTTGGTTATTTTTTTGCCAAGCAGGCAAAAAGTCATAGATCTTTTTTTTTTTTTTTTCACTGGCCTGGCAAGCATTCTTATCTTGAAGATGGCTTTCCTCTGTGGATTTACAGATTACATATAGAAATTAATGTAGAGCTAGGATTGCTGAATAAAGCTATTTGTATCCTTTGTAGACACTGTAGTAAATAACCCATCAAAATATAAACTCCGTTTTTCCTTTTTTTCCCCCTCCCAAGAACATTTCAAATTAGCACATGTGCCACATTGTCACTGGCGGCAAATTGCAGCATAGCTCTGTATGTCTTTGAGATGAAGATTGTACTGTTGCTTTCATGCTGTGGTAAGTACCACATCTGCAATACAGGTAACGGAATTGCTACTTAAAAACTATGGTCTTTTCTGGAGCTATAACAAAGTAATTCCTCCATAAGGTAAAATGATCCAAATCCAAACAGAGGGAGCCTAAAATTGTGGAAAAAATATCCATACTGAACTGCTCTGAAAATCAGTTGGGCTGCCATCACCAAGAGCAGCACTGAGAAGAAAGTTTGTGCCTCTGGGGTGTAATACTTGGGTCAGCTGGAAAAAAAAAAAACAACAACCCACCAACAAAATACATACCTTCTTATCCCTTTAGATATAAGCTTACAGTAGGTAATGATCATGTGTCCTTTTTGATGGCTGTAATGAGAACTTCAATCACTGTAGTATAAGATCTGATCTATAAATGACCTAGAATAGCCATGTAATATAATGTGATGATTCTAAATTTGTACCTATGTGACAGACATTTTCAATCATGTGAACCACTGACCTGATGGAGCTACAGTAAAATTTGTGCAGTAGGTGAACATGTAAAGTTATTGGTTGGACTATGCTGAACAGGGAAAGCGAGCTATTAGTTAAGCCCACACTGGGCTGTTTTCCACCTGCCAATTCTACATGTACTTTTGTGGTTTAATTCATTGTATGAAAATTCCTGTGATTTATTTTTTTTTTTAATGTGCAGTACACATCAGCCTCACTGAGCAAATAAAGGGAAACGAATGTTTCAAATCCACTTCTGTTTCTCTTTTTTATCAAAAGTGACAGATTTCTCACCCAGCTGGTCATTGACTGGGTTTTCTATTGCTCTTCTTAATGGTCACAGCTGATTTCAAATAGCCCAGATCACACCTGCACCTCTGGCAGGGGGCAGAACCACTTGTTTTAATAATTGAGTAGCAGAAAGGTGATACCTGCTTTTTTCCCCATAAATGCTTGAGGCTGTTGAAGGGCTAACATAAATCTTCTGGGAAGACTTTTGAAAAATGCTCAGTGGAGAGTTATGAGTTACTGGCTGAAGTTATGAGAGGGTAGGTAATGAAAGGCCGTGCTTGGATCCAGATTGTGCAGGAAGGAGGGAATGACAAATCCAAAATGGTTGGTATCTTCCATTCTGAGATGACAAATACCTTTGCTAGGAAACGTTAGCATCCTGACATTCAATTGTCATCACCTTTCTCAGACAGGCTAGGAGGATCGGACAAGTAGATGGGATGACAAGCCAGGCTTTGTTGAATCCTTCCTGGACAATACAGTGTACAGCATGGTGGCCTTCCATACCAGCATTGTCACTGGGATGGCAACAACTCTGAGGAGAAGTGCAGTTAGTACTCAGCCCTTTCAGCTAAGCATGGATGAAAAGGAGAGGTAATTGGTGTGGTGTGGTGTGGTTTGGGCAGGTTTGTTCACAGGTAGCCAAAATACCACTGGAGGCCTATCCCATAGGCTGTCATACAAACTAGTATGACAGAGCTGACCGTGCCATGCTTTGGCCATGAGTACGCTCACCTTTGACAGCATGACCCAGAAAGGTACCTGCGCCCTGATCTGAGACACAGCCTAGCACGGCTGGTGAATTTTAGCTGAGAGGTTTTCTTGTGCTCTAGAGCAAAGCATGCCATTGATTGCCAAGTATGATCTTGATGCAGGCAGCCCCTTGATTGGATGGAAGCTTGGGGCAATGTGTCTGTGGGGAGAGCAGGCCTTCCCTGCCGTGCTTTGCTGCTGACCCTCAGTACTCCTCTAGCTGTGTCTTCCCTTCCCATACATTGTGTTTTTTCCCCCACTCTCTCTTCACTACCTCTTCCTTTGAGTCTGCCATCTCCTTCTCAAGGTTCACTGATTCCCGCAGCAGAGAGAGCAAAGTGGGAACTGTGGTGCTTACAGCTGGCATTTTCACCATTTATGGATCTGAAATGTTGTGCTTGGTGCTCACAGTGCTATCAGAGTGATGTTCTTTTCTGCATGTGATTTGCATTGTTGCCTTGCTGTTTCGGATCAAATTAATGCTCGAAGTGTAGCAGGATAAAATCCATCCCTGACATACTTCATCAGTGTTGCTGGAGTTGCAAAAGGCATGAATTCAACCCGCTATTTCTTGGATTTTTAATTTGATTGGTTTATTCATTTCCTATTTTTGCAAAGCGCTTTGATGCTCACAAAAACTACTCAATCAGATTTCCAGAAAAGTATTACTTTTTGCCTCATTCCTCATTTTCTATTATTACTTTTTTTTTCTTTTTAATATGAAATCAAGATCTCATTTATTAAGAAATCATGCCTTCCATTGCCTGCTCTCCTGGGTTAACATTTTCTCCTACAGCAAATGCTCTGAGCTGAGCACCTGAAATCAACCTCAGGCACCTCAGTGAGTGGCCTGATTTTCAAAAATGCTGAGCATCTTGCAGCTCCCATTGACTCCAATTAGACCTGCCGGCTCTCAGCACTTTTAAAATCAAGCCACATATTTAGAGCCCCAATTCAGCACGGCATTTACATTTGTGCTTAAGTCCATCCTGATTCAGCAAAGCACTTAAGCACGAGCGTTTTTAGATCCATTGAAGTCA